CCCTTCTGGAAAACAAGCAACAGATGTTCAGCTGAGATGTGCCCAGAGAACTCAAAGTGAGGAGCCAGTTGTCTGTACCTGTTTTTGTAGTATGGAGGAGGCTGCTGTCCCTGCAGAGGAACACGGCTTCTCTTTGTTTCTAAAATCCACAACGTACTTGGAAGAACACTGCTGCCTGGGAATCCAGTCACTTGAATAATTAAAGATGTGACACTGGTGTCTGTCTTCTCTTTCAATTTTTTCAGGATGTCTGAATTCCAAATTTTTAGTACTTGTTGGTAGCAGAATTTTTATTTTTAACCAAGTTTTTCTTTCCTCTGTGGCTCATCCTTTCACACTGAAACTGAGAGCATTTTGTGCACAGGTGTAATAAAGACATTGAAAATATCAAGAGAATACTTTCTGGAGTCTTTACTTTTAAACAAACTTGAAGTGCTGCTGAAGTAGTGGGTGTAAATTGGATGTAAATGCGAAGTTCTCTATTTATAATTCAAAGTTTATATTTTTAAAGTAACATCAAAGGTAGCTTTCTAGTTTTCAGGCTAAATGCTTCTACACCTTTGATTCTGGCTGGTATTCTAAGTAGAACATTAAACCTTTTGTCATATTTCCAGTGTCTATAGCAGCAACAGCAATTTATGCATACGCTTGGCTTGTTCCCCTTGCTCTCTGGGGATTCCTGATGTGGAGGAACAGTAAAGTTATGAACATTGTCTCCTACTCGTTCCTGGAGATAGTGTGTGTATACGGCTACTCCCTCTTCATCTACATTCCCACAGCGGTATGTATGGTCTGAAAGAGCTGCACCTCTATTACATGGCTCTGAAAAAAAGGTCCTGGCTTAGAAAATGTGCTGTTTCTTATAATATTGTTCATATTAGTCAAAACCTTGGGGACTGGGCAAGTAATTTGCTCTTTTTGCGTGGCTAGAATAAAGCTTTTTGTTGAAGCTGGTCTAGTACGTCCTGTGGGTCCTAGAGAAGCCCAGGACAGGTCATTTCCCCAGAGGCAGCAAATCCAAGCAAGGATGCTGCTGGCCAGCCTGGTAGGCAGCTCCAGGCAGCTTCAGGAATGGGCTATGCGTGTCCCCAGGGTATGTGGGATGGCCACGGATATGGCTCCGAGGCCAGGTTTCCCTGGCAGGGACCGTCCTGGGCCACTCTGGCAAGGGACAGGTCTTGGAGGAAGTTCTGTAACTCGGGGGATACACTGGTGTTGTGTCTGGGAGTAAAGCTCATTCATGCTGTTATTCTTTCATCAAATAACAGAGACATATCAGATAAGACAGGAGTTAATTTGTGCACAAATTGGCTGGAAGTGATAATGTCACAGAACGATGCGTTAAATAAATGAATCCCCATTTCCCACAGTCTCTTTAACAATAATTTTCCTTCCTTTTACAGATTTTATGGATCATTCCACAAAAAGTGGTGCGCTGGGTCCTGATGATGTTCTCCCTGTGCCTTTCGGGGTCTGTTTTGGTGATGACCTTTTGGCCCGCTGTCCGAGATGACAACCGGAGGATTGCATTGGCAACCGTGGGGACCATTGTTCTGCTTCATGCCCTGCTGGCTGTTGGCTGTTTGGTATCACACTGCCTTTCTTTTTCTCTAATCTGTTATTTCCTGGCATTGGTGACATGTTACAGTGCAGAGAAGGAATGGTTGGCTGGTTGCTGAAAAATCTTTTTTACTAAAGAACGAAATAGTACTCTGACAAACCTCCAAAGTAAAAGTTCTAATTGTTTCAAACATAGCAAAAATTGATGTCAATCTGACTTTGACAGTGCTAGCAACAAACTCAAGAATGAATATATCTTTAGCACAAAATCACTTTCAGAACGTTCTTAAATTTATCTCGAATTCATCATAGTATCAGCAAAGCATTTATTGTATCTAGTCACAGCTTAGTCCAATGAGTACCATGTTTAATTTACCCTTTAAAATGATTAAATGTTCAATATATAGGATATGCTTATGAGTTTTATGTATGAAGACATAAACCTGCTAGAACTTAGTTAAATGTCAGCATTATGAAAACAGCCTCCAGAGTAGGTAGATTCAGTTCCCTGCAGCTCAGTGTGCAGGGAGGTGAAGTCAAAACACAACTCCTGTGTTAGCAGACTTGCAGCTGGTTTTAGTGGGGCTCCTGTCACTGGAGAGTGCCTGGAGCTTCATCAGTTGAAACAGCAAGCAGTCAAATATCTGCAATCCAATCCTTTCCAGTACAGGTCTCTTTCAAAGGCTGCTAACTGTCCTATTTAAAGTACAGCTAAGAGCACCATTTTAGTTGACCTTTTCTAATCTGATAAAAACAGAAAAGATCCAAATTTGCCATTTCAATGCTGTGTTTGTACCTTGTGAACAGTGGGTGTGGAAAGAAAGAGCTGGGATGAGGCAGAACTGTTTGTTTCTCTCTAAACAGCCTTTTTCTCCTCTGTAATAATGTAGGCATACTTTTTTGATGCCCCTGAACTGGATTTTCCTGCACCTATTATCCCTGCTCACAATGGAACAGTAAATAAGGTAAGAATCCAGTCTAAACTTTCTTCTTTAATCCTTACAGACATCTTGAAACTTTTCCCTGTTACTATGGTAGAGAGGAAGAGGGTTTAACAGACCAATTTTGCCAAATAGTGCCTATATATAAATACCATTTAACTCTTCTTCTAGTTATAAGTTTTAACTATAGCCATAAAAACGTAAAAGACTCTGAGGAACAAAGACATGTTATCTTTCTTTTCTTTTAGGTTTACTCTTGGCAAAGAAACACACATTTAAATAATTTACTCAAGTCCCATAGGTCATTTCAAAGATTTTTTTTTTCCCCTCAGTTTCTTCTAAAAGCCCAAAAGTTTTTGTTAGAATTTGTATTGCACATGTAAAACTTAAGCGATAAACTACTCCACTCCTGTTTTTCTTTCCTTCCTGTTAAAATGTTGGATTTTTTTTTCTCCTTGATGTTTGTGACAATTGTGTTTCAGAGCAGCAGCTCTGTGTATAGGGACATCCGTATGGTCTCTCAGCAGGGCTGACTCAGGGCCTGAGCCACCCCTACGGACCACATTCCTCCTGTGGGATGGTTTGAGGTTTTGCTTCCTGGTAGCTGGGAGTGCTGCCAGGCAGATGACGAGACGAGACGTGGAGCAGGTCCAGGAAAAGGCTAATAGGCATGCGGAGGCCAACCCTCTGCAAGCACACCAGCCACAAGTGTGCATGTGTAAACTGGAGTGTTATACTGACTAGAAACTACATTAGATTAAAAAACAAAACAAACCCAAACAAATATGCCTAGCGAAAATGGTTGTAAAAAATGACCAGCTGTGTGACAATCTAATTGTGCAGAAGCTTTCCTTCTGCAAAATCAGTTTTGCATCCCAGGTGCCTATTAAGATTCAATATGATAGTAATGAATTTTAGCATTTAGATATAAATATGTGCCTTATTGTGTCCTCTGGTGCCTGCGAGGAGCTGTAATATTCATAGGAGTTATTTGTCTCTTTCAGATTACAATGCCTGTTTCTCCATCTGCACAGTGATTATATTTTAGATTATTTTTTTCACTGAAGACCACAGAGAATGCAAGCACAGGGGCTGTTTTTTCTAGAAGAAAGGACAGTGATGTCCCACGGACCTATGGACATCTCCATGCTCACTGGTGACTGATTGGTTCTGTGGGGAGAGCGAACTGTTGATCTTAATCTTTTACTGCGGTTTTTCTTTTTGTTGTGTTTTGTTTTTTTTTTTCTTTTTTTAAATTCTATCTACACACACCACGCTATTTTGTCTCTGAATAAAGTATTTGAGGGTGATGTGAGGTTCTTGTTTTGTGCACAGAATACCGAATTCTGCTCCTCTGAAGCTGGGCAGAGGGTTGGGTATAAGGTGTGAGGGTGGGGCTCAGGCGAGACGGGGTGTTGCTGTTGAACCACCCTGAGGCCCTGACAGCGGTCCGCGCTCTCCCTGCTGGTTTCCCCCCCGCGGCCAGCACCGCTGGGGCCGTGCGGGCGGATCGGGCCCGCCCCCGGGGCGCGGGGCACGCCGGGACTCGTAGTCCAATGTGGCTGTGACGTCACTTCCTCTCAGGGGGCGGGGTAAAGC